AAAAAAAAAAAAAAAAAAAAAAAAAAAAAAAAAAAAAAAAAAAAAAAGCTACAGATAACGAATAATGAACTAACCTAGATATGTTTCACAGACTAGGGATAAATGTGGCTCTGCACATGTAACAGTAAAAGTAAAGAATAATGTTTGCTTTATATAAAACTAACTATCTTAAGCATTTAATTGTCTACAATGAGCTCATTCCTAGATTTACTGAGTAAGGTCCAAAAATAATGATAAACAAATCAAAAAATACTATCAATGTGGATTTTAAGAATAAGTGGTCTTGTTTTTTATGGACACAGAAAACGCAAAGACCAATATGCGACCTCTAAAGTATCTTATGGCGTTTATTTGATTAATCAAAATAACCGTTAGTTGCAACTAATTAAATATCTGCTCTTTCCAGCTGTTGGTGCTTCTGACAATCCTTGTACGAACACCTTTGCAGGACCTCAGGCATTCTCCGAGATAGAATCGCGTAACATTGCGCAATATGTTCTAAATCTGCAATCACAAGGCGAAATTATCTACTACATCGCCTTTCATTCTTTCACTCAACTTATTGTTATTCCTTATAGTCACGTTGATAGCGCAGGCTTGTTGGAGGCTGAAAACTATGGTGACATGGTAAGATGTAATAAATTTCTACTAGTCGGAATGTTGATTCTTTTTTCGTAATTCTGCAGATTAGCCTTAACATGACCTTTAACTTCAATTATGTCAGATTAAAATGTTAATAATCTCAGTACAGAGTACTAACTAAAAAAAACCGACCTCAAAAGTCATTCACCTCCTACTTTGCCACCTTTGGAGGTCGAATATTTTCTTCAAATTGTAATGGGACCACTTCTGAGGTATTCTCTTTCCAATAAAAAAAGAATCATCAAAATCGGTTCACAAACCGTACCAGTTCCAACAGCACCCTGAAGATGTTAATGTACTGTACTCTCAGTGCATTGTACGTACGCTCGTAGTCCACTCGAGTACATTGACTGACAAAAAGCTGTCCTAGTTTAAAATGTCATACATGAGTAAAGCTCGACTAATTTCCTTCGTAGATTATGCAAGTTGAGTGTACGCAAAAAAAAACTTCGCACGCTGCGCTTCGATTGTCTTTTCCTGTTCTTTCAATTGCTATGGATTTTGGTTGTTGTGTATCAGCAGTCAATAGCACTGTTCTTTGGTCTCTCTTACTGCGTGCCGGCGACTCCATCACCAAAGCGGAAACTTGGAAAATTGAACTACTTGGAAATTGGACTACTAATTTAGATTAGAGAATGTTAGCGGTGGAAACTGCTAGTTGTTCAATGCACAACGAGAGTTGATGCTCAACCAACAGCACCAGTACCTAACTGGATAATAGGGAGGATGCTGTACGTACACTCGAGGTCGCTCACCCAATGCGCCTGTGAGCCCCGGATGAAGTCTCTGTAAATCTGTGGTCAGGACGTAAATGATAAGGTCCCTGTGCAGGCTTGCTTGCACAGTTAATAGTGCCCTTCCATTATAACGATGAAGTTAATATGGGTCTGATCTCTCTCACTCGCGTTGTGGAGCATCTTATACAGTTGCACGGACTTCATAGTGTCTATATGTGGTTAGGTTCTTAGCCACAATTGCAAATATTGGAAGCTGGATTTTTTGTCACTAACATCAACATTAAGTACAAAATTGTATTTTTGGTTACAATGTTAATGCGTTAATTTGTATTTTAGTTCGAGATTGGTATACGTGCTGCAGAAAAAGCGAAGGAACGTTTTGGAACAGAATACAGGGTTGGTGCATCAGTTGACGTATTATGTAAGTATATTAATTTATTTATAAAAAATGGTGGCAAACAGAACATTAATAAGATTGAAAATAAACTGTTTTTGAATTTAAGCGACAACGCGTACGTTTCTATAATAAGGTACTGGTTGATATTCAAATTTTTCCAAAACCAATCGCATTTCATTATTCAAGTAGAATTTAAAAGATTTAATACTATAATGAAAAAGACTACGTACTTGAATGACAAAAATCCACGGCAGTGATCCGGTTAGCTCCTACAGGTTGTCTTGATCTATGATATTTGAAATAAATATTGTAAATAATAAATGTATGTAAAATATTTATTTACAAAGACCAACCCCTAGAGTTTCTTACTTATTCTTCCGAGTGAGTAGTAGAGTTAAAACAATTTTACGATTTAAAGTGTGATTTGCTTAGTAATGAAATAAATAAATAAACAAATAAATAGTGAAATGAAGATCGTCTGAGTTTGAGTTGTACCTAAGTACAGGGCATCATCAAATTTTAAAAGGTTAACGACCTGGCTGATGTGGTCATTTTGATGAAATAGTCAATGTGTGACCGACCCGTTCAGATAATGCTCTTGCCCTAGAGTTAATTTCGATACATTAGTAATCACTGTCAGAGATCGGCGGTGAATTATATTTAACGTAAACTTCAAGAAAGAAATGTGCATAGTATGTAACACGATAGCTAATTAACTGACTTCAAAAAAGGTTCTCAACTCGACAGTATTTTTTTTTGTATGTATGTTACGCGACAACTCCGGTGAATTTGTGAACTGATTTTGAAGATTCTCTTTTAGTTGGAAAAAGGATACCTCAGAAGTAGGTAGTCCTATTTAAATTTGACGAAAATATTCCACCTCTAAGGATGGTAAATTAGGGGATGAATGACTTTTGAGGTCGGTTTTTAGTACTCTGTACTGAGATTATTTTGATACTATTTGAACAGAAAAGTATGGCTTGATACAGGGTCAAAAAAACAGAATCACCAGTGTATTCCAAGCCCATATCCCGGGTTATGGGGTGGCACAATACATGAACACATTTTTGAGGTCTTTTATTAATTTTTTTATGATAGGAATTATATAATATTCTTTATAATAGGAATAAAAATTATATATAAAAGCAAGTACTAAAAAGTTGAAAGCATCTATTCTCTAATAATATTTATATCGTTGATACAAAGAAATACCAACCATAACGCACTTGTTGCAAAAACAATATCTTTGTAAATTTATTGGCACCCAAATAACTTCGTGCTGGTTGTGAGCTTATCGGGCTTGAAACTTAAGATTTAAATTCAACTCTATACCGTTTAACTTAAGAACGATCCAAAATATCAAGTTTGATGTACTCTGCATTGCATTCCAGTAAATGACTTGGTTTCTGAAATACATTGTTCCAACTATGAAATACTTTGCCTTTTTTAACGTGTCTTGCTTTACCACTACAGGACATCATAAAATAAAATGTTATTTAGGCTCGTTATAAACTTTATACTGTGCAATAAATTAATAGATTGATTAATTATTAAATGAAAGTACTTTTAGACCAGGATTTTGATAAGGTTCATTAGTTTTATTTTAACCAGAAAATTTTGTTTTTGTAATTATTCCCTCTTTAATACACATTATAATAATAATTCTTTAATAATTATTATTATTTGTTTAAACAGAAACGTTACATTTTCAATTTACCTGTGTTACGGAAAAATTTAGACAACTAGTGTAACTCCCGTCTAATTTAAAAGTCTAAATGTAGGAGCGTAGGTTTGATACGTTATTATTCTAATTGCACCAACAGCGGCAGCTCCTTGCGAAAGAGTTCGTCTTGGGCAGTACTGCCGCTTTACCTATTTCTGCTGCCAAGCAGTAATGTCAGCATTACTGTGTTCCGGTTTTGAGGGTGCTGGTGAAATTACAGGCACATGAGACTTGTCAACTTATGCCTCAGGGTGAACGGCGCAGTGGCAGTGCCCCTCAGACCTTTGGGTTTTGATGAGCGAATTTGAGTGGCACTGCGACTATTATAAACAGCCGTGTAGCTTACCATCTGGCGCACGACTTGTTCGTCCCGTCAATTGCTATTATTTGAAAAAAAAAAACAGTTCGCAAAACATAATTAGAAAATATTAAGGTATTGCACAGTAAACCTTTGTGAACTGCAGTACATAAATTGATATTTTCATAACAGGATTTTGAGATTATGAGGATTATGAGAGATGGTCACGAAATATAAAAGAAATGTTTGTTTGTATATACATAACCGGGCGGATCAACTATTTAACCCACAATTCACGATGCCATTTTACAGGAACTTTTTTTTAATTACTGGCTTATAGCAAATATTCTTAACTTTAGAAAAACGATGTGTATAGCGAAAGAAAATCGTTACCTTGCGAAATATTCAAAAAACAACTGACCTTGAGAATAATGTCTCTTGCGTTACAAATTTCAGCAAACCCTTTCATAAAAATAAAACAACATTTCGAAACTAAAATCATATCTATCGCTCTCTTGCTTAAACTAAAGAATGTAATATTCAGTCTTTTGAAACAGGAACTGTTAATAAGATTTATTCTAAAAGTAATGTCTACTGAGTTACATTTGATTACATTGGTATGTTAATTACGCGACAAAAAAGTTTTCAAAAAGGGTTTTTATAATTATTTTCAACAGAACTTATCGAAAATATTGTGTTTAAATGTTTGCAATGAGAATTAACTTATAAGTGTAATAAAAAGCAAAAAGAATAATTAAGATCTATCATATTTGTAAGGGACAAAAGGTAACACCAAAAACAAATATAGTAACTCCTAAGACAGTTTTGGCAACCCCTTAGAGATATAACTCAATAGACAATTCTTATGTTAAATTAGTAAAATATATTATTTTGGGAACTTTCAATCAAAGAAAAATGTGAGAATTTCTATAAAAAATGAACAAAAAATCTTCAAAACTTAGTATTATACTTCGTTTCAATATAATCCATTTGAAACAAAACGTAAACAAACAAGTCACTGACCTGATCAGACGTTTTAGTGATGGCCAATTGTGATGACAACTACAAATCGATTAATTAATTAAATAAATTATACTAGCGGTTTTCCTAACATAACTTATAAAAGCATATTCAAAATTTCCGAAATCTTAATTTACGTGAAAGTGTTACTACTTACCTATTCGACTTGAGAGATTGCTTTAGAATTTTAACCAAACCGTTTTGTTTACTTTTCGTCTAAAATTGATTGAAACTGACTATAAAACATAAAGAGATCACAAAAATTATTTACAAATTATTTTTCGAAGACATCAATTACGGACTCAAATTCAAAGTACATTCTATGTCCTCTTTTAACTACTGCTGGTGACGGTAAGATTTTTATAATATCTTCGTACTCAACATAGCTAACATCTTGCTCATCAAGGCGATATCTTTGAGCATCTTTACTTATGACTCTGAGGAACATCACTTTAAACCCGCCATCTTCTTCTACTGACGATAAAGCTTTGCAAACATATGAGTATAATTTTAGCTTTTTTTATCGTCATCGTAAACATTGACGTGTAAAAAATCTCCAATAGAGACAGTAAATTCTGAACCTCACTGAGAGCTGCAAACTCACTCAGAGGAAATTCATCGTCTGATGATGATTCTCGTCTACTTTTGTTTTTGATGTCTTCGCCTTGTACTTTTAAGAAGTAGCTCTGAGGATTAAAGCATTTGCAGAAACCTCTCTTCGCAGAATCACAAAAACAACAGGATTGTCTGTATTTCAGGTGATGTCGAGTATGCGTGAATATTTTGTGAACATTTTCACAAAATACCAGTTCCAAGTTCCAAGTTAGTTCCAACCAAACGAGCAATGTCTTTTGGCAATTGAGCTTGCTGACTCTGGATTTGATATAATTATTAATACAAAGATCGTAGAAATTTTGCTTCTGACGATACTGTGTCGGCGGTCCGTCGGAAAAGAAATGCACCGTATTAACTTGCTTCTGATGGTTTTCGATCCATTGCAAGATTGGATCTAAGTGTGACCAGATGGCAGCAGACTGTGATTGTTGCACGCCGAAACTGAGCAAAAAGAAAGCGCTTTGTATTGCTGTTGCTCATTACCTTTGGCATAGACAACGACTGTGTGTAACGACACCTGATTTCTGGATCCTTTTCTTGAATTTTCTTGGATTGTTTTCTTTCTCTTGTTTTCTTTCTTTTTTTATCTCTGGCTCTTGAGAATCGTTTCTTGTATTCTTCATACTTTTTCTTCCATTTTTCTACTTGTTTTTTGAGATCGCAACTTTTTCGGTATAATTAATTGGCTTCTGTCTTTCCTGACTTTTTTACGACCTCGTGCAGCTGGTGCGTGCAAACCCAGTTGAGGCGCAATATCTTCGCGAGGCATTACAGCAGCGGGTATCACATTCTGACCCTGTTCCATTTCTGAAGCGGGTGAGCTTGGCGGAGTTTCTTATAAAATATTCTGTAAATTTTTTTTTTCTTTGTCTATAATCTCGTTTCAGCAACTTCCAAATTACGTTTGCATTATGTTTTTCCTTGGGTGTGTAATCTTTTACTAAACGCTTAGTTTTGTGGTAGTGTTCCCGATGCCTTTTTTTCGATTCTTCATATTTTTCTTTATTTTGTTTCAGACGTTCACGATACCGTTTCTGCTTCTCAGCGTTAGTTAATGCCATTATTACTAATCCTGAAAGGGAAAGTTAAATCGTAAGAATAGTTATTAAATATCCTCTACAAAATATCTCTGGCGTTACCGTTTTGTCCTTGGAGTTACCTCTACAGTAACGCAGTAGACCAGTAACGCCGGAGACATTTTAAACAAATGCTCAAGAAATATCCAATAAAATACAATAATGCTATATATTTATGTACTGCAAACAAAAGATAGAACTTATTTACGTATGAATATTCTAAAAATATAAGTACCTATTTCAAAAGTACATATCGGTAAAATTTTGGTAACTCCGTGGACGGTGAATAAACTCACGCACTTATTATCAGAGCTCGTCACCGACCGAAGTACAAAAAAGTGCAACAAGTAATTTCTAGAATGAATAATCTTAAAACTAAACGAATATGCGTTTCGTTATTGAAGATTACTGGCATCTAGTGAAATAATTGTGAAGCATTTCTGTTGGTAACTCAGTTGACGGGGCAAATTCAAATGAAATCGGGACAAAGTTTCTTTATTTTTTAAATGGTAAATTTAAATTTATTAAACTAATTATGATTAATTTGATGGCATGAGGTGAATAAAATGGAGACGCTTTATAAAAAATAACGCTAGTAAGGCCTTTCATACATAATTTCTTAGATATCCATCGAAGAGTAGTGGTACTGTAGACTGGGGACAGCGAGTTATTGTATGGAACTCAAAAATTGTCTTTAGAGTTACCAAGAAAAATTATATAAGAATTGAATAAAAATTCTAAATTTATTTTGAAACCAATGTTCTTTACTCTGTTAATTTTCTACGTCTTTGATTAGTCAACATTTTTATATATAGTAAAAAAATCATCGTGCATACAAGTCGCGCTGCTACGTTTGTGTGGAGTTGATTAATATACTATCCAAAATTAGTTTAAGTAAATAATTTTCAGATCCAATGAGCGGAACAAGTTTTGACTGGGTGAAACATGAAGTTGGAGTCCCCTTTACGTGCCTCATCGAGCTTAGGGACCTTGGACAATACGGTTTCCTTCTACCGCAAGAACAAATTATCCCCAATAGTTTAGAAATCATGGACTTCATGTTAGAAATGGACAGGGTGACCAAGAACTTGAAATATTATAATGATGCTTCATTTATTAATCATTCTATTTTCGTTATTTCTTTTGCTGTATATATTGCAAGATTGTTATGATTGTGTAATTTAGCGATACATTAATATTACATGTATAAGTGACCTATTTTGTTCACAATATATAATTATTTCTGGTCATCATAAAGTCTTATTTTATTTTCATGAAAAGAAAAGTAAGATAAGTACAATAAAAGCTTAAATGCACTAGAAAGTAAGACTAGGATTAAATTATACGAATAAAATTGGGGCCATGCGGCAAGGTGCCCAAGATGCTGGCAGCTTTATCCCTTTGTATTATTTCTATCCCAGGTCCTTTGAATTTTAGGGTTCGGACGGTGAATTTTCGTTGGGGCAAACCTGATTCCAGGCGTTTCTGGACTCAATTAACCACTTCATCTTCTTAATGTATCAATCGCATACACTATAATACTTTTTTTAAATTAAATAGACTTGTTCTTGACCATTACCTAGCTCAGGAGCAAAGATAATATCTACGATGGGACGAGCTTGCCCAGAAGATGCCTATTCAGTCGCATGAAACATAAATTGATAAGTCCCATGTGCCTGTAATTTCACCACCACCCTTAAAAACCAGAACGCAGCAATGCTCACATTTTTGTTGAAACAAACCTCTTTCTCAAATAATTGTTAACATTATATAGCATCTGAAAATCGTATAATTCAACAAATTAAAATGTTAACTATTAACAATATTGTGTTTACTTCATTTGACACCACATTTTTTCTTCGTCGTGAATAATTACATAGAAATCACATACGAAGTATTTACCCTGAGATGACGTTATGTAGTATTATTTTATGTAGTTGTAAAGTGATCATTTTCCATAAGGCATTATTTGTTAAACTTTATTTTCAATCTTTGGTCCTTGATTATAAATATTAAGCTTTGTAATATTGTTGATTTCTCATGTATTGTAAATCTTGCTTGTAAGAAGCACATTTTAGCCTTGTCCACCACTTGAGACAGGCCGCAAGGACAGGTTAGAAGGAAAAAGTGAGTTCTTTTTGTAAATTCTGCACTTACATTCAACGGGAAGGATCATTAAATATAGTTATATCAAAATAGGGCGCGATAATGTCCCGCCAAGTTTGTCAAAATTATGAACTGTCAAATTTCTTCACATTAAATCCTTTCTTTACGAATCAACATCAACATGGCGGCCTTTTTGTGTTCTATTCGTAACTGAAGGCATCTTTCCTCTTCTTCCACTCTTAGCGATCTTGTGTCAGGACTGGATGAGTCCATCCAACGCTACGGTGGTCTGTCGCACCCTCTGATGTCCACTCTAGATTCTAGTACTCGCCTTGTCCAGCGCCTCTTGTCCATTCACGCAATGTGCCCAGCCCATGTCCACTTTTTCTTTGCTATGACTTCTTTAACTTTCGTCCTATTTCGGATGCACGCATTAATTTTTCGGTCTTACAGGGCGACTCCGAGCATAACTCTTTCCATACCCTTGTGCGCTACCTCTGAACTTTCTCTACTTCTTTCCCAAAATCGTAGTTTTATTCCTGGACGTAGTAAGGGAGTTCCAGTTAGCCATGCAATACTCCACCAAACTTTACGCCCCTCATTTATAACAGCTTATTGTTTGCCTTGGGATTACGTTTTCGATAACTTTTTGATAACCCTACCATTTGCGCTGAATTTGAGGTCTGTGCGTTATGGGTAGTGCCGCGGAGTCAATCTCGTCGCTCTGATACTCTACTCTCAATACTGGGAATTCTCAAGTCTAAGACCAAGTAAGTGGTGTAGTTGTTTAGCACATTATTATTTTATTAACTATATTTACACTTATATCTAATCGCTAAAGATAAAGATGACGTTGTCAAATATTCAGTTATCAGTTTATTCCCTTTAAATATCATTTTGTAATTTACATTGTAAGTGTAGAAGGTGAACAATATGTTTTGTAGAATATTAGTTTTGCTTATAGCATTTGTTTTTACAAATGCAGAGTACGTGAGTTACAAAGATTTTAAAGTGTATAATGTAATACCGACAAATGAGAAAGAAGTGAAATTATTGATGGACCTCAACCTAAATGGACATTATTCGTTTTGGACTGACAGAATCCAGGAATACCATGAAGTCAAAATTATGGTTAAGCCCGACAAGCAGAAGGAATTTGAAGATCACTTGACAAGTGAAGGTGTTAAAATAAAAATGGTTGTAGATGATGTCCAAAAGTAAGTAAAAAATGTTCTGTCCCTTAATTTGGTGCGGATAATTATTTCACTAAACAATACAAATCTTAAGTAGATATAAAAAATACAAGGAACGAACCCTTGGCATGATTAAGCCACCTGTGACCAATTTTATCACATGAAGTGAATAGAAATAAGACAAACAACATGAAACAAGTTACGTATATGCGAACTTTATAGCACTCCAATTTAAACATATGAAAGTTATCAACTAATTACGACCACAAAAAAAATCTAACTTCAGCTCCTGGTGAAAGAGTTCGTCCAGGAAAGTAGTGCCACCATACCTATTTCTGCAACCAAGCAGTAATGTGGACATCACTGCGTTCCGGTTTGGAAGGGTAATAATGCTGGTGAAATTACAGTTACATGGGACTTGTCAACTTATGTCTCAAAGTGACGGGCGCATTGGCTCTGCTCCTAAGACCTTTGCGATTTCATGCTTTGAGTGGCACTTCAACTGTTATAGGTGTAGAAGGCTGCTGGTGCTAGAGGCGTTAATGCCTGTTGGATGGAAAGTAGTAGTAGTAGTGGTAGCCTCCGCAGCCTCCATACATCTTACTTAGTAAGTTTAGTAGTTCAAAAGTTGAAAGTTCAGTTTTATAGGTATTTATTCAGGTTTAACAATAGTATTATGATCTTTAGAATGTAAACGGTGCAAATGTAACTAGTAAAAGGTACAAAAGATATGAAGAGATGTGTTCGCTACCGCGATCGGACAGGAAGTGACGATGGAACGAAACAAAATCAGGATGTGAGGCAAAGAATGGAACAATTCAAAATTTGAATTTAAATGCGAGTGTGAGAATAAAATAAGAAATTTAAATAAAAAGGTGGGATAACGATGCAAGGAGGTCACACCGTCACAAAAGAGTGTCGCTTACCATCAGGCGCACGACTTTTCCGTTCTGTCACTTGATATTATAAAAAAAATATTGGCCATGTGACAATCTTTTGGTACCTTTCGGATAATTTTAGGATTCGCCTATCATGAAAATTCCTTTACTTATAGAATACATCTCTATATGTCGTTTGACGATCTATTCGTTACATGTCTAATATAATGTCGTGTCCATTACGTTCTAAATTTTTTAGCTTCGTTCCCGAAAAGTTCTTATTTTGCAGATGTGGCCATATTACAAACAAGGGTGCGGTATCAACAAACTTGTAATCATTGATTACGTGTTGACAAAAATATTCTAATCAAAGTAAAGAAATAAAATTTGGGTTTTAGTAGAACTACAGATCATACACATTTTCATACACATTTTATGTATAAATTTGTTAACGGCAATGTGTATCATTTAGGGGTTCTACAGAATATATAATACTTCTGTAATGTATTTAACTATTGTGTACATTTCCTAATCATTATATAACTGCTCACGCGATGCGCGCCTCCTACCGCAAAATGGCGGCTATTTGGTTTCGCAAATTAGAAAAGCATTCAGTTTAAATACAAGTTTTTATAAATAAAAATTATTATTCTGCATTGCTAAATAAATACCCTCCGTACTACAACAAAAACATCTCAAATAAAATGCAGTAATAAACCGCAAATTCTGCACTTAAAAAGCACTAATGAAATTTTTGGTGTACTGGGTAAATATGATAATATTCCGTTTGAGTGGTTCTAACGTTAACCATGAAATTACTCCTTAAAGTATAGTTTATAAACATTTATATCCAGGGTAAACTTAAAAAACGCTACTTACGGTATGTTTTCAATAAATAAACACCGAAATCACCAGCCCAAACAATAACACACACGATTGTCATGACGTATTTTTGAAGTTGTTTATTTTTTTAAATGACAGAGCCAGGCATTAAAAGCTTTATGGTTTGCTAGAGTAGTTACCGAAATAGCAATTAGAATTAGTTCTTTTACCTGTTATAACTTCGATATCCGATAAATCGGTATAAAAACATCACCGGCACCTCTAAGTGTGGTATGCGTCTACGGCTGCATGTATCGCGTGAGCGGATAGAATAGTTTTTATTGGCTTGAGGTAATAATGATAATACTGTTATAATATTGGCTCAACATTTTATTTATAAAAACTTACAGGCTCGTAGACGCAACCCTGAAAAGACCTAAAGTTAATCGTCTCAACAATAATTACGCCTGGGAGTATTACCAAACCTTGGACGAAATCAACGAATGGCTTGAAAACATCGTCAGCGAACACTCTGACATTGCCTCTATAGTAAACATTGGTACTACTTTTGAAGGCAGAGATATTAAAGGTGTTAAAATCGACTTTATGAAACGAGACAAACCTGTTATTGGTTTTTTGGAAGGCGGTATACATTCTAGAGAATGGATTTCCCCTGCTACTATGACTTGGGTTATAAATGAGTTTTTGACAAGTAGTAATCCTGATATAAGGTCTATGGCTGAAAATGTCGTCTGGTACATCTTCCCTGTCGTGAACCCTGATGGCTATGAATATTCTTTTACTAATGTAAGTATGATATACGAGTTGAGTAGCAATAAACCATTAAAAAAAAATGAGATATAAAAAACTAAGATTATTAACAGACTTAAAACTTAACCTTAAAACTGAAACTGGAAATGAAACTCTTTTTATCCAACTAACCACGATCGTGACCATTCGTAACTAACCTGACGGAGCATATAAAAAGCTCTAAATGTTGGGTTGTTTGAAAAAACAAATATACGCGGTTAAGAACTGAAAAATATAGTTTCATTTCCTATGTCTAGCCATCGAGAAAAACATTAACTTACAATTATATGGACATCGGGTCCGCGCTAAAAAGTGTCCGAACTTATAGGGCGTTAAAATCGTATACTATTAGTATATATATTAGTCTTCGTTTGTTCGACTGACAGCGAAGCAAGCAAAATTAGACAGTACTGCGATGACATTACAATTTCAAATTCAACGTTTTAGCTTTTTCATATTCCTTTACATGTCACTACGTTTAAATAGGTTGACTTGGGACATTTTTTTTGTGGTTTTTGTATTAGATCCGTCGTCCATTTATTTGTAAGTCAATGGAGAAAACCAAATACATTCGCAGTTTAAACACTTGGAATGGGACTACATTAAAAGGCTGAAATTGAGTTATCCCTTTGTATAGCTATGTTAATCCAATTGGCATAGTAGCTGCTAGCTGTTGTATGATATGATAATACATTCATGACTTTTTTAATAATCATTCTCTACAAAAAGGCATTGAAATTCCATAGATCCAGTATTTCAGATCCAAAGTAAGGAGTCGATCTTACCTTTGGTTTTTTAAATTGGAAAGAACTCAGTCCATCTGCGGAGCCATTCCATGTGGTCTGAAGGTATAATGAGGCCAATGCATCGACGCATGTAGCGTCCCGTTATGACATGCTATTGTATTTTAATATTTACATAAGATGACTTACTTAACTAAACGATAAAATATAATGTTTTCAGAACAGAATGTGGAGAAAGAATAGAAATACTGAACATTTTACATCATGTGCTGCAACAAATGTAGCAGATGATTTAAGTAATGGTGTTGACCTTAACAGAAACTTTGGTTTCCAATGGAACAGTAAGGATAATCATTTTATTCCAATTAGGTGATAAGGTATACCTATTTTACCAGATAGTGGGTTAATGTTAATACCTATCGACAACTTATCTAAAGATTAAATTTATCATTATAATTTTTTTACGTTCGGTATTTACCAAATATTTTACAGATAACATCGATAATATTTATTTGCGGGACGTTAAGTACATTTATTGTTATAAATCCAGGTACCTGTCTACTCGACAAGATCGACTATCAAAATGAAGAGTGAAATCGATACATTTAAATGATTATACACTGGTATGATGGAGGTTGTATGATTTCTGAAAAAAATAAATTTGGTGTACTTAATTATCACTTCCTTGGGTTTCAGATACAAACGACGTAAACTTCATTTAAATTGTTAATCTTAAGTTTAAATCTCTAAAGTAGATTCTACGCAAATGATAAGACTGTCTTATCTTATGTCCCACAGTGCTTCACTGTGCATAAGTAACGTACGTCCCCCGCGCTTGTCCAATATAGGTTGGAAATTATACTTTTCTGTAGGCTGTGAACATTATTCGACATACAGGTCATCAGCACTATGTTTTCTATCACCGTACAAAATTAACACATTCATATTTCCAACAGCTGTAGGAGTTTCACCAGATCCTTGTTCACTAGTATTCCCGGGTGGTTCACCAAATTCAGAACTGGAAACGTTATCCATCATCAATTTTGTCTACCAGCTTCAACAGGAAGGCACTTTGATCTATTATTTGGCTTTCCATTCCTTTAGTCAGATGGTGTTGATTCCGTACAGTCATGTCGAAAAAGGTGATGTTTTAGAAGTGCCTAATTATGGAGACTTGGTGAGTTATAATTTACTAGAAAAAACATATTGATTCAACAATGAACAAAGTAGTAATAAAAAAAGAATGAAAATAAAAATATTATAATTATTAATACAAAGATCGAACACTCAGACAAAAATCCTTCGATCCGGCCGGATTCGAACCGACGTCTTCTAGCTTACCGTGTCAGACGCTTTGCCAACTAAGCCACGGAATGAACCAGCGCGGACCTCACGAGTTCTTCTATGTTCTTGTGTCGTATCTTTGTATTTGGTTTTCTCAACGACTTTTTAGTCGTAGCGCCATCTATGAGTAATCTATGAAAGTTTTATCACCCAGTTAGATATCTCTAAAATACAGTGAATAGCGACATCTCTCGCCAGGGCTAGTAACTGGAAAGATGTCTAACTGGATGATAAAACTTTCATAGATTTCTCATAGATGGCGCTACGACTAAAAAGTCGTTGAAAAAACCAAATACAAAGATACAACACAAACACAGAATAAATCGTGAAGTCCGCTGGTTCGTTCCGTGGGTTAGTTGGTATAGCGACTGGCACGGTAAGCTAGAAGACGTCGGTTTGAATCCGGCCGGATCGAAGGAATTTTTTCTGAGTGTTCTATCATTGTATTAATAATTATAACAAACTAGTGGAATACTTTCACAAAAAAATAATTGAATATCAATTCAACAAAAATAAAAAATAAAAATATTTTTAATTATTTGGATGTAAAAATAACAATAATTAAACTCCAATATAACAAAAAGCTAAAAATAAGAAATTCTTCACGTAAGTTTTAGTATCACATTGTATGATTTCAGCACGAAATAATCATTAAAGCGATGGACAAACTGACAGCTAGACATAATACGACTTACGTTGTCGGAACTTCTAAGGAAATTTTATGTAAGTAATTTTCCAAATATCAGTTAAAAATAACACTTGTCGGGATAGAACTACAATTTTGTGATTTCAAGACAATGATATTATAATTCAAATACACTCTCCATCGCACTTTTTTCTCATGCTCCTCGTCATGTAATTTTTGAGTTATCATTTTCAATTACACATTGATGTCAAAATTTTAATATCTTGCCATTTTTCTATTAGCCTAAGCCACACAGTGCTTGACAATGGTTTCCATCAAACTCACCTCCTCTGTGTCATTTCCAATCAGCTCTTGAAGTGTAAGCATTCGGATCATTCTAGTTTTATGAGTCTGTCTCAACAGACCTCCCTTCTGCGTTACGACTCCAGCCTGTCGTTTGGATTTAGTTCTCTATACAAAACCGTCTTAAACTTGCTTACAACAAGAAGCTATTCTCAACAAAAAGTTACATTTAGACAATGGTTATCAAAAAATATTGAAGAGTTAAACGTTCCAAAAAACATTCTAATTTAGTATTTGTTGCAGATGAAACAAGCGGAGGAAGCTTTGATTGGGCCAGAGGTGTAGCCGACATTCCAATAGTGTATCTTTACGAATTAAGAGATCTCGGTGCCTACGGATTTCTTCTTCCACCAGAACAGATCATATCTAACAATGAAGAAGTAATGGATTCTCTTGTCGAGTTAGATAGAGTAACACGACAATTGAACTACTACCGGTCTAATGGATACGTATTGAAATTCAACGCTTTGATCATTTTAGCAGTTTTGTTTGTCGGTTACTTGAGATAAACCAATTAACATAAATGAAACATTTTTCGTTCATCGAATTAAACGCACAGTGAAGGTAAAACACGACTTGCATTTTTTTTGTAATAAAGATAATTTGTTAAAGCATGTTTTTTTATTTTTGCCATATTTTATAATATATCGTATATATAGCAAATAGCGTTACCTAATAAGTCAGATATTGCTAAAATAATAAAGAATCATAATCATAGATAAACAATTGTAAAATTTTACGATACTTGTTAAAGTTTCATTACCATAGTAAGGATTATTTATACGGTTATTGATAACTTTGCCTGTAAATTTTAGTATTTGTTCTTTATTTCCTTCTGAAATATTGAATAAAGCAGTCAATGTTTTAGATAAAATGATTTATTTAAAAATTGTTGTAGCTCTTCTGGGGTTTGTAATAGCATTAAATGCAAAGACCTATGACGGCTATAAAGTATACAGTGTAGTGCCCAAATATGAGGCGCAAGTTCAAATTTTGAACGATTTGCGTAAAAGTGATTACAGTTTCGATTTCTGGACTGATCTGTTTGAGATTGGAAGTGATGTTAGGATCATGGTTGCTCCTGAAAAAGAAATGGGTTTTCTAAAGTACAGCAAAAGTGTTGGACTGGACGCGACGTTACGTATTGAAAATGTTCAAGAGTAAGTAGTATTTCGGTATTACCATTAAATAGAAAAGCACTACTGGGGATCTTTTAAAACAATAAGTATAAATTTATAATAATGCTCACACGCACAAACTCAACATATTTATCGGTAATAAATTTAAATATATTGCCCATCAGATAAAACACGCACAAATTCCTGTATTTATTGAGATATAAATAATATAATTCGTACTTTATCAATTCAAATATTGGGTTGGTCAAAATGTGCGTGCAGTTTATATGTGGAAATCTGAAAGGGCGGTTGCAATAGTTTGTGACGGTTTTTGACGTTCGTAAAGATATGGTGGTTAGGCATTACCATAGATATGGCATTATCATGATGGAATTTGACACCTTTACGATAATAATAATAATAATAGTAATAATAATAATAATAATAACGCACACACTCAACATAGCCCCGCACTAGAGAAACCCTGTGACGCGGGTGCCATGGACACACACATAGACAACCACAAATTACACTCAAACTCACGAGAGAAATAATTGTAGGCCATACAACTATTTCTCCCGGCCCGGGAATCGAACCTGGGACCTCTGCGTGGCAGTCCGGCATGGTAACCGTTCGGCCACGGAAGCAGTTACGATTCACCTGTCATGGGCGTTTTTCAATAATTATAAACTAAAAAGTTTCCCACCTATTTTTAAAATGCACGTCACAACATTAGGATCTTAGACAATGCAACATTTTAAGAAGAAAGTTATTTTGCTTGTTTAAAGTCAACTAGAAGCAAAAACCGCACGGACTTTTTGTCACTCCAATACTCTTCACTATTTGTTGTTCCATAATTTCTTGACTACAACTCAAATCTCTTTCAGTCTTATTGACGCCCAAATGCAACCATCTCAATCTACTGAAAGAGCCACTCTAGGCTCTTTTACTTGGACTCATTACCATCCTCTTGAAGAAATCTACGCATGGCTTGACGAGCTCAAAGAATTATACCCCGATGTTGTCACTCTGAAAACTATTGGCACTTCATATGAAGGCAGGGATATCAGAGGAATCATTATAGACTTCAAACCGGATCAAAGAAGTGACAAACCGTTGATTGGAATGATTGAAGGTGGTATACATGCAAGGGAATGGATATCTCCAGCTACTGTCACGTGGATTATTAAAGAATTCTTAACAAGTACCGATAGTACTGTCAGATCTATGGCAGAAGCTTTCGTTTGGCATATCTTTCCTGTAGTTAACCCTGATGGTTATACTTATACGTTTACGGATGTAAGTTTTTCATTACTTACATCACATCTTTTAACTTCCTTAACTGATGAAACAAGTATATAAAATACAAATTTATAAGTAGTAACCATGTCTACATTTTGTACATGTGGTCTGATATAATTGAGGACAAAAGTAGTAGTATTAAGTGTACGAGAAAAATATTCAGTTGTAAGTTTTTACGCCCGCAAACCGTGAAAAAAGAAAAATAAAAAGACTGCGCTTCGGAAGGAAATCGACGTTCCACCTAGTGTAGAAGTATCACAAAGTAAATTGACTTTTTAACCTAGTTCGGTTTCATAAATTAACGCTGCAGCAGATGGTAAAGGTATTTTATTAAAAATGTAAATAAAAGGTAGAAAACTAGAAATACTTAGTATCAGTACAGCTTCTCGTGATAAAATTCGACCAGGGAAGTACTGCCACTTTATTATTTCTGCTGTCAAGCAGTAATCTGAGCATTACTGTGTACCTGTTTTAAAGAGTAAGGGTGATGGTGAAATTACGGGCGTATGAGACTTGTAAATTTACGTCCCAGGGTGCAGTGGCAATGACTCTTAGATCTTTGTGATTTAAAGCTCCAAGTGGCACTGCAACTGTCATCACCTGTCATGGATAGCCGTGTCGCTTACCATCAAGCGCACAACTTTTTTGTCCTGTCTCTCAATGTAAAAAAGAGTCAGTTCAATTTAATCGTTAATTTTACGAGCTTTTTGTAGTTTGCTATTTAGCATCGTAGTCAACATTTAATTTCTTTGTTTCGTTAATTTCTTGTGGTTTGTAGACGTAAAACGTTTTAATCTAGAATCCTGGTTGCAGACCCGTATGTGGAGGAAAAACCGCAATCCAACCAACTATGTCAATTGTTCGGCGGACAGCGATATAGGTAACGGGATTGATCTGAATCGAAACTTCGATTTCTTTTGGATGAGTAAGTAGTACGCTTCTAATTAATCTATTTTATTGCGATTTATACAAGAACACAAGATATTTATTCGTTGAATTATGTATTTTACAATGAAGGTGTATTATATATTGTATAAGATCGTGTATGTCATCAAAATCTGGCGTGATATATTCTACACTTCTTATTTCACTTTTGACATAGCATGCATTTAGAATTAAATTTACACAGTAGCGTAAATAGACTATAATTATAAATTATAAAAAATACAAAGTCAAAAAAATTACTTAAATTTTACATTTTATATTATCGAGTAAAAAATTATCAATATTGTAGTAGCATTGACTAACTAACAAATTATGCAATTTAATTATGAATTGTCTACAAATTATTTAATAATTTGGATGCTAATTTCGACTACAGCAAAACGAACCTTTCATTTCATATAATTAAAATGTACGAAAACTATTGTATTATTTGGCCATTTTAAGAGCACTTCCTTGTTTGCACTAACTAAAGCTCACAACATTTGAACAATTGCCTAAACCTTGATTACGTGATTGATAGATGATAATTAAACCAACCTTTATATGAAATTTTATATTCAGCTGTCAGCGCTTCCAGTAATCCGTGTTCAAACAACTACGCGGGTCCATCTCCTTCATCAGAACTGGAAACCAAAGCGATCAGCGATCACGTCCGCTTATTGACTTCTCAAGGAAACTTCATTTACTACATCGCTTTCCATTCATTCTATCAGATGATTCTAGTACCTTTCAGTCATGTGACTGGTACTGATGTTCTGGAAGCTGATAATTACGGTGATATGGTAAGATTTTGTTTTGATGTCATTTCTTGGTCTCAAGCTGAGGAGTTCCCTGTACTATGAATGCTAGGGCAACGGAATCCACTTCATAACACTACTACGCCCAAATTAGAACCAATTTCGAAAAGTTTTTTCCAAATTTGCATTCATCCAGTGCTTACAGTGCCAACCGTTGGACGAGGTCATTAAATTTAATGTATTTTACATCATTATCATTGCCAATTTCATAGTTAACTTGTAATATATCTTTTTTCTTTCGACAAAGGTGGAATCGAAACAACCCCAAATCACTTGAATGAAAATCTAGTCCTAACGTAGTAGTTAGGACTTGATAGTAGTTACTAAAGTAGTAGTTACTAACTATGCTATTTAAATTTTTTTTTAATGTATTATCTGGACTGTAATATAAGAGTCACTGTTTCAGTATAGACAATACAGTATTATTCCAATACAATAAGCATCAAAGCATAACATAGATCATGGGTGTTTTGTAGAAAAGGCGAAAGAACCATTTCGAAAAATGAAAACAGGTGAGCACGGTTTAGTTTTCACGACTGTTTTAATATATGTCCTGTTTTAATTCAATTATAAAACTTAAACTTAATTAAAACCAAAATTGAAGTTTATTTTTCGAAATAGCGCTTTCGTCCTTTCTACAAAACACTGACGACATAATTTACATGTGAAAAAATTCTTCTAATGGATCTCTCGAGTCATTATAATAAATTTCAGGTTACTCTTCTTGAGTGCACGTAAAACTTTACTTTATGGCTTTGACCAGCCGTGATGCTAATCATAGTGGCCGGTTTAATGTTATACGGTTTATACTGACTCCGATATTAAATATAAATATGCTTAAAATACCTTGCTAGTTAATTAGGATAAAATATCGTGTAGCGAAACGAAAGACAATGAAGAATAGAACAGTATGAATAAAAAAATCTTTTCTGACATTCTTATCGATCCTAATAATCTCATCCTTCTTATCGATTCTTCTTCTGTATAAGGAGTGCCTATAGTATCTTAAAGTGGTAGATATGTTGCCCTAGTTGATACCTCGAATACAATATCTGTGGTTGCTTTGAAATCTACCGTTGTGCAGGTCTTTGGGCACGAAATAGACACGAACGAATTCTCCAAGGACTGTATTGGAACACCGAACACCGCAGTCACTTAGGGATACATTATCATCCCTGTGTACTTAAAAGAAGGGAAAATAAAGATTAGCAAATGACAGCAGTGAGGCACTTGAGTCTGATACCAACGTTTGTATTTTGAACCATTGGCCACATATGCCAGAACGCTTAATCGAAATTAAAAGACGATTGAAGTCATT